CCCCCAACTATACAAAATAAATACTAATGGACATGAAAAACCAAATAAGCACTAATACGATTGTAGTGGGGGACTTCAATAACCCACTATCACAAATAGACGTATCATCTCTACAAAAAATCAACAGTGAGGGCTGGAGATTTAGCTCAGAGGTGCTGCTGCCTGCCTCTCAAGCAGAAGGTCCCAAGTTCAATCCCTGGTACCACCCCACTTCTCCAAAAATCAACAATATATTACTCCCAAGCAAAGGAAACAAAAGCAAAAATGGACAAATGGGACCACACCAAAGCAAATTTTATATATATATATATATATATATATATATATATATGACATAAAAGATTAGAATCCTCTGTGTAAAGTATAGAAAAATATTAAGATTCTGGAACTATTCATTGACAAGAGGATGACAAGAGGATATACCACAAATACAGTTTCACATTGTAGTCATATTTATACTTCTATTACATTTAACAAGATCTTTTCAGAGAAAGTTAACCAACTTTGGAGACTTCTCCTCATATTTAAACCTCAGATGCCTCCTACAACTTCAGTGAAGTACACCTTTTAAGGTTCTTTCAGACTAGAGTCAACAAATTGTGACCCTTGGGTTATATCTGACCTGTTACCTCTTTTTATATGGCTCTATGAGCTCTGAATCATAGTTAAATTCTTAAATGGCTTAAAAAACTAAAAGATATATTTCATGACCACTTAAATTATATAAAATTTAAATAAAATTATGAATTTCATTCACAGAGCTATATTCTCCATACCCATATATTTCCACACCTAACCTTGAACCAGGCTTTCTAATATTGTGAAATAGAAATGATTTGGTTTATAGCAAAAATGGAAGAGTCACATTAGTTATGTGTGCAAGATCTGAGAAGTGAGCCCAGCATGAGCCATAGGGACAACTACAGGAGGTACATATAACATCAGAAGTCAAGAGATCAGCCATCCTGAATTCTTCTCTTCTGTACTCTTGGTCTCTAAGGACACACACTCCTGGGACAAAAATGATAGAAAAATAGGTACTCTAATGAGGAGCTTTGGATATTAAGCCCCTTAGGGGCTCTGGATAGACTGTAGGAGTTAGCCTGTGACCAAGTCACTCCACAGCCCAGCCTCAGTGAGGAAGCAATACCTGACCCTCCTTTCAGGATGACCTTCCTGAGCAAGTCCTTCCTGCCTCAGTTGATTTGTCTACCAGTGCTGAGAACTGATCTTCTGCCTTCAACATCCTGGAAGTGCTAAACATCATTCTCAGTGAAGCCAGTCTCCTAGGTGATGATTTGGAGATGAGAACAGGTATTCTGCTTAAATTTCATTCAGGGGAAGCAAAGATGATATTGTATGCATAAGAAAATAATTAACAAATTAAATCCCCAGGCGACCCCTGCCAGTCTGTTATGTTGCATATTCTCATATTCCTTTGTACCATATTCACACATTGTCTTCCTGCTCTCCTCCTACTTTCCACAAGGAGAAGGCCCATTTTATTCTGAGCAAAATTGTGCTCCTTCTCAGACATAATGATTCATAAAATACCTTGACATTTACTGGAGTACTTGGGGAGGGTGGTGGGGGAGCTGTTTCACTCAGTGAATTCATTGCTAGGGCTGCTGACACAAAAGACCACAGACCAGGCAACTTAACAACAGAATGTCCCCCCACAGTTGCAGAATGTAGAAGTTGGAAGATCAACACATCAGCAGGGTTGGTTTCTTTCCTTGGCTTGTAGCTGACCATCTTCTCCCTGTGTCTTCAAAGTGTGTGTGTACGGGTCCTAATAACTTCTTGTAAAGATACTAGTCCTATCAGATTAGACTTCCCCCTACTGAGCATATTCTAATTTAAGTTCTTTTTGAAATAATTATCTCTAAATACCATCATATGTTTAGGGAATTAGGGATAAAGATTTCAACACATGAATTTAAGGGGGTACAGAAGTCGGCTCATAGCAATCAGCTCCTTGATTTATCTTGGTGGTTTTGGTCCACCATTGTACAGAAAGCTTTTGTTCTATGCTGGTAGGTAATTTGAGGGCTCTGGGTAGAGAGGTGGAGATGCAGAGGTACTGCCTTCCCCTTTTCTGCTTCCTAAAATTCCCAAATAGTTTGTATAGGAACAACAGAGAGACTAGAGTTAATAATAATAACAACACCCCTAGCCTCATTCCAGAATTAAAACCTGGGACATTATAATATGGTTTCAGGTATTTTAAAACAAAGTAGTAAGTATACCCAATTTGTAAACTATATTTTCTTGCATTCCTCTTCTTCCTTTCTCCAAATATGACATCGTGAATGTAATGGGGTTCCCCAAACACATGGCTCTATATTGTACATGTAGTCACATCAATCCACCTAGCTTTCTATCAGGCTATTATTCTGCCTATCATCTATCTATCTCTCTATCTATCTGTCTATCTATCTATCATCTATCTATCTATCTATCTATCATCTATCTATCTATGTACCATCCATCTGCCATCATCTACCTATATGTTAACAGGCATACACATCACTTGTGGACAATAAATTGTACTGTGACAAGAAAGTGGGATGCTGTAATAGTAAAAATTTATAATGAAGGACTAAATACAACAAGGCTAATTTTAAAAAATTACCAAAAAGCATTGATTATAAATATCATATGCTATAAGATTCTATTTATATAAAGTTTACCAAATACAACATTATGCAGTTTTTATTATTTGAAAGAAAAATATCAATTTGATTAAAACTGAACAGAATAATGTATGTTTCATGAGGGTGGTACTTTCCCTGGGGAAAGAAGAAAATCAGTTTTATGCAAGAATATAAAATGGAGGTTTCAAATATGCCTCTAATATTTTTGCACTAAAGATGTCTAAAGGAAAAATGGTGAAATATATGAGTTTTTATCCTATGATACCATTTATTTTATTTTTTATTAGTATATGTTTGCAGTACATATAGTTTACAATCATCTTGGGGAGTGGGTACATGTACATAATACAGCTTGGTTCTTTTTTAAATGCCCTGACTCTTCATGAATTAGAATAGTTTTAACTGGTGAGTGATGAATGCATGATTTTACTTCCCATCATGCCTGAATAATCTGTAATAAAACACACTTCTCTGAGAAGGTTAAAATATTTCCAGTTTTCTCAAGGAATGCTATTTACGTATATATTTTTTCCTATTTAGGTAGTCATAATTTTGTGATTCCTGTGTCTAATGCATTTACCATTTGATTCATTTTCAGTGTTAGATGTTATATGGCCAAAGGAATATCGGTATCACTGATGCATCTTTCTGTACTTTTCTGCAAATCAATATTCCTAGTGGAAGATTCAGCACATAAAATTTCCCCAAAGTGTGCAGTTCATATGCTGGAGATGTTCTGTCTTTCTTCCTTCCCCTGCTCCAGATGTCTATTCCTTCTAATGGGTGAACAGCATCACTTGCTATTGTCATGCACATGATAGGACAGATCAATACCAGAGTTCCAATTGCCAGCACTGTGCTGGCCACTTTGCTGTATTCATTTCTCATCAAGCAAAAGATTCACATGCAGTTTCCTCCCAAATTTCGTGAGGCATAATTACACAAAGAAAAACTGTGTATACTTAAGATACACAATATGGGCAGAATTCTAAACTGAGAAATGATTATCAAACTACAGCTAAGGAACACATTCATCAAACAGTTTCATTAAGCAAACAGGGACACCCTGGCTTCTTATATTGTTGAAGACTTTCCCTCATTCAGAAAGCAAACACCAGGTCCTGGATTAAATTCAGACTGTGTGAATCTAATGTTACACCAAATGATCAGCATCATACTGCTTCTGTCTTCCCCAAGAGAGGAAGATCTTTGCTCTCGAGAGACCGTCTTATTAGGAAACCTGATTATCTAAATCGGTGTCATCTTGACGTCTCTGCTGTCTGAAGTTTAACAAATTGGTTTTTATTTCAATCTATCTATATAAGAGCCTCTACATTTCATTCTTTCACTCATGTGGCTAGTACTTGTTTATTCTGTGTAATGATATGATACCTCTCTCACTAAGAAAAGATGTTCCCTTAGGATAAGACAAAGTGTTTTCAACATGATTACCCATTTCTTCTAGAATTTATTGCTAAAGCAGATTTCTGGCATTTCCAGGGAGATTCTTATGGGCTTGAATTTAAAAGCAATATTTTCTAATTATTGTTCAAATCTACCTGGATGAATCTCCCTCTCCTTAATTGTAGAAGTGGTAGAAGTGGGCATACCTAGAAAGAAAGGAAAAAAAAAAAATCTTTGTTCATGATAGTTTCTCTGGTGTGAGAAACTGAAAGTGAAAATAAGGATCAAAATGTATATTAGATAATGTGAAATAGGAAGAAAAGGTCTAAAAGAGAAGGGGAACTGGTGGGGGGAGGGAAAAGAAAGAAGGGAAACAAAAAATATGAGAAAAGGAAAAAATGGAAGCAAACTCTTTGTAAGTAGAGGGGTTGAAGGGAGGGCAGGGAAATGGGGAAAATAAGAAACAAGATATATCATGTAAAGGTACAAATTCCCAATGATGAATGTCATTGTATTGTATACCTAAAATGTACCAATAAACCTAATGAATGAAAAAGAACTATACTGGAAATTTCGAGTTAGCATTACTGACTTTATGCTGTCCACAATCATTAGCAGAAATTGGTCATGAGAATCAATCCAGCAGCCAGATAACCTAAGTTCTGACTCAGAGTTTGACAAACATGAACAGTGTAGTTTATGTGCATTACATAACCTTGTGACATTCATGTCTGGCAGGGAGAGAGCATCAACTATCTCAACTATAATTTGACAAGCCCTTCAGATGATCTGAAGACCTTCAGATGCCAACACTGCAGACCATGGCTTTGGAAGACATATTTGATAAGTTAACCCTCATCTTTATTTCTATTGAAGGCATGGGATAATTCTTATGGAAATTGCATGTCTTATTTCTTACAGTCTCAGCACCTACAACAATGTGTGAAAAAGTGTTGGTTTCCAATAAAGGGTGTGGAAGTTAGAGGAGGAGAAGAGAGAAGAGGAATGGAAAGAAACAGTGACAAAAATATCTGAATAACCTTTTGGTTCCATTGTATACACAAGATAATTTTCCTTTTTTTGTAAAAACCCTGGTTTTCAAACTTTAGATATATAAAATCCACCTGCAGCATGGGTCCCCATTCCCATATCTTGTCATAAGTAACACTATAACTGTACCAAAGGTTTTCCTTTCTACCAAGTCACCATGTCATACTCCTGCTGTTTGGCTAGAAACAAGTCTTTTTATTGTATTTTCACACCATGTTTTCTATGAGATTTACTAGTAACATGAAACTCAGTAACCAAACAACTGTTTTACAATTCCATCTTTTGGGACTGACAGATGACCCAGAGCTGCAACCCCTCATCTTCAGCCTGTTCCTGTCCATGTACCTGGTCACAGTGCTTGGGAACCTGCTTATCAACCTGGCTGTCAGCTCTGACTCCCACCTCCACACCCCCATGTACTTCTTCCTCTCTAACCTGTCCTTCATCGATATCTCTGTAAGCACAATCGTGCTTCCAAAGATGCTGGTGAACATCCAAGCACAGGATCAGAGCATCACCTACACAGGCTGTCTCTCCCAGACCTGCTTAGCTCTGCTTTGTAGTGGCTTGGAAAATTGTCTGCTTGCAGTCATGGCCTATGATCGCTATGTGGCCATTTGTCATCCTCTGAGGTACACAGTCATCATGAGCCCCTGCCTCTGTGTCCTGCTGGTTCTATTTTCCTTGCTCATTAGCACTGTGCACGCCCTGCTCCACACTTTCATGGTGCTGCGGCTGTCCTTCTGTACAGACCTGGAGATCCTCCACTTCTTCTGTGAACTTGCTCAGGTCATCAAGCTAGCCTGCTCTGATACCTTCATCAACAACCTGCTGGTATACATAATGGGTGTCATATTTTTTGGTGTACCTCTTTTTGGGATTATTTTCTCTTATATACAAATTGTCTCCTCTATTCTGAGGATCCCATCAGTGGGGGGAAGGTACAAAGCCTTTTCCACCTGTGGGTCTCACCTCTCAGTGGTGTCCTTGTTCTATGGGACAGGTTTTGGAGTCTATATGAGTTCTGGAGCTACTGACTCCTCCATTAAAAATGTAGTGGCTTCAGTGATGTACACTGTGATCCCCCCAACACTGAACCCCCTTATCTACAGTTTGAGGAACAAGGAAATGAAGGGAGCCTTGAGGAGTCTCATTGTTGGACTATCTTTTGTGTGATTGTGCCATTGGCTTGGAGCTTTGGTTTCTAGAATAAGTTCAAATTGCAATATCAAGGAGCCAAAATGCCTGATTCTATGATGTCTGAGTACCTTTCAACTTGGACTTCAACCCCGACTTTGCTGTTTTTCCAGGGATGTGATGATTGACAAATGATTTTAATCTCTAAACTCCATCTTGTCGTTTGGACTTCATGGAAGTTGCACTGGAGTTAGACATTCAGTTTTAGCAATTCCATACAGCTGAATCTCAGAGGGAATGTTGGAAAAGGTGAACAGGGGAGAGAAAGGTTTAAGCAAGCCTGTGTTAATATCTGGGGCTGGCTTCTGTGTTTGACCCTCATGGTTAAGGTCATATGGGTTGCACCACCATATACACTTACTATGAGGCAAAATCAGTAACTTCATGCTCCATGAAAAAATTACTGAGACTTGTCATGGGAAAACAGTCTCCTATAAGGGTAATATTACCATCTACCTTACTCAGTTTCACTAATTATATAATTATCACAATTATATCACCTCAGAAGTTTGAGATGGTCTTGTGAGATTTGAAATTTTGAACTTCATCAGTGAAAAATGCCTTCATTTCTCATAAAAAGGAACTCTAAATTTATTATGCTTAGACAATGAGGACTACTGTTCATTATAAGGACTTTAGAAATTGGGCATGTATAGCTTCAAGGATCAGGACTTTATTTAGAGGTGCCTCTTCCTAGGATAATTCTCAGTTTTTATATATAGATGGAGGCCAGAAACTGAAACTGAGTGTTCTTCTCCCAGTGCATTGATCATAGACCTCTATGAAGTCAATCAACTATATTTCTGACTTGAGTTAAATGGTGGCTGGCCAAATAATACTTCCATATCCTGATCCCCCTCAATGGTGACTATGAACTTATAACACGAGAAGGGGGAATGGCCCTTATATACAACAGAGGTCTTTGCAGAGAAAGTACATATGTCAGTTTATTTTCTTTAAGTGTACTTTTATAGACTCTTTCAAGATATACAGAAGTAGAAATAGACATTGAATTAATGCAACCAATTTTTGATGACTTTTGTTTACACACTTGTCCACAAAACCAATTCCCTATGACTATAATGTCTCATAGTCCCCTTTTAAACATGCCCGGATAACTTGTCACATCAGTTTGCTTTTTGTGACCTTGATAAACTTAAGGTGATGAATTATTTCTATATTTTTGTTATTTTCTATATATTGTTATTTTCCTCATTGATCTTCTGGTATTCCATCGTGTCATCTGGTTTACCAGTGATACATTAATTTACAGTGTTCTCCATTTTACGTGATGTATAGTGACAAAAAATAAGGAGTCCTTCTAATATTGATGAATTCTAGGTAGATCTTTTTCTGACATTGTGGATAAACTGAATGTTCTCTCATGTTTACACATGAAAATGAAAGATAGCTTTTTTGTGTGACATTATTAGTTTTAAGAGTATAAATTTTCTTTTTTGTGTAATCCCCCAAAACATTTTCTAAATAGTTGAATTAATTGACCTTCCCACTAGATGGTTTGTAAATTCTACATCATCAGAAACATTTTTAGTTACCCTGACAATCTGTAAAATGTTGTTTGGTTACTTTATATTTCTCTTTTTTTCGTGCACCATATCTTTATTTGCATTGTCAAGATCATCCTTTGTTAAAATAAGACCTTGAGATTCTTTGTCATTATCTGAATGCTCTGTACTGCAAATATCATAAATTTTGGATCATATGGACTTTAATTTTCTGTTTTTTCTGAGGCTTCAATTCTGGTCCAGGTACAAAGAAAGTATTTACCCCAAAGTGGAATATTTTGTTCCTTTTTAACTCATCTTGTTTTGTTTTAGGGAAGGAAGAAATTTTGTTTTCACTGCACATAGGCAATGGCTGAGTGAGATGAAATGAAGTGAATTTGCATTCTTGTCTTGTGGGGCCTGAATGGGAGGGACATATCTTCACTTTTAGCAGGCAGATCACAAACAGGATTGCAAATTCCCCAACTCAACATTGCAACAGTTTCAAACATCATCTTGTGAAACAACAGTGACACAGGTCTATAATCCAGATGATTCTTTTACAGGTAGCTTTAACAACACTCATAGTGTCTCTGAGTGGGAATGATTTCTTCATTTTTGTCTTCTGGTCTTGATTTCGGGATGGAAATCCAAGGCCTCTTATGCCTTTAAAAATTTGCCTTGATGTAATAAATATGCATGAACCATTTCATCAGTAACTCCCTTTCCAGCTTTACAGTGAATTGCCACAAGATAATTGTCATCTTCCCTTGGCCGTTGGTCAAGATCTTCACAAAAGAGTGCTACATTCTAGTTGTGGTAAGAGAGGCTCTTCAAATGAATACTCTGCAAGTGAAGGAAATTTGGGGTGTTATAATGTGTTTCAGCACATACACTGTACACCTTGTAATGGTTTTAGGCTTTGAAACCAAACACCACACTACATCATCAATGTTATTCCTGTGTATACCTTCAAGTCTCTCTGCAGGAAATCCCATAGTAATAATATTTGGATAAATATAAATCAAGCCTAACTTGAATTTATTCTCTTGATATCTCCTTTAGTTTCTGCTAATGATCTCTTTGATGCTGGCTGCCATGTCTGGGACCCTGTGGCTGAAGAAAAAGGAGAGAGATGGTGGAAGATGCTTGTGGTGGGTATTCTTCTTCAGGATGAAAATGGCTCTGGACTTGGTGGTTGTTGATGCCCCTCTCTTGGCTGCAGCTTGGCTCTGAACAACAGCTGAGTAGAGGCCTCTGTATTAGCTGCTTGATGATTGCAATGATTTTCTTTTTGTTTCTCCTCGGCAGTCACTGACCTGCCAGTAGCAGCAGCAGCAGCAGCAGCAGCAGCAGCAACAAGAGTGGGAAGATGTGGAGAAGACAATCTTTTCAATTGCCTCCTTCAGTGGCCTCTGGAGCTCAGCCAGGGAGGATGCTGTGGCAGGGAGTGGAGGTTTAAAATCATCCCCAAATGACTAATAAATACATGACAAAAAATCTTCAACATCTTAGGCCATTAGAAAATGCAAATCAAGTGCTTGCTTTGGCAGCACATATACAAAAATGCAAATCAAAACAATACTGGGAATCCATCTTATTCCAGAAATAATGGCTATCATCAAAAAATTTTTTAAAAAAACAAATGCTGGTGAGATTGTGGGGAAAAGAATCCTTCTCCATAACTGGTGGTAGTGTCAACCAGAACAACCAATATGGACATTAGATTCTTCAAAAAACTAAAACTGGAAATTGTATTTGACTCAGCTATTCGACTTCTAGGTATATTCTCAAAAGAGTTAAGGACATCATATTTCAGTGAACCATGCATACCATGTTTATAGCAGCATATCTCTAATAGCTAAATCTTGGAAGTGGCCTATATGTAGATCAACAGATGAATGGAAAAGGAGAATATAGTATATATACACAACAGAGGGATAAATTTAAGCCATTTGTAGGAAAATCGGTGCACCTCAAGACCATAATTCTAAGTGAAAAAAAGCAGATACAGGAGGTTAAATATCACATGGTTCCTCTTAAATGAAAAACTCAAAATAGAAGTAAAGGGAAAAATAAAAGTTAGATGACAGAAAACAGGAAGGTAGACTTGCTGGAGATGGGAAGGGGATCTGGAGGTGGGGGAGAAGGGAGAGAGATGAAGGGAAGGGGAAATAAAATGATTCAAGTGTGATATGTATTTGTACCAATTCCCCAAGATGAGTGTGATTGTTAGGTATTGCAAACAGATGCTATTACAAATACTATCATGTGCTGCTGCCATGTTGGAGGCAGCAGAAGGGGAGGGTGTTTCCAGGCCTGGGAATGGTGACAGGTGACCCTGGTCCCCCTCCAGACCTGCAGCCACCCCTCTGGAAGTGGAAGATGCAGCTATAGATCCTCAACAGGCTCCTGCCCTAGCCCACGGCTTCCACATTCCTTCTAACAAGAAGCCAACAGGATGCTGCACAGTTATGGAAGAAGAGCAAAAGGAGATGGAGAATGCTGCTGCTGCCACCTCTCTCACCTTCCTCACCCAAGCCAGGCCTGGTCTCATGGAGATGAACTCGCACACTTCTATCATGGCTGCAGCTTCTGCTGGGACAGGTTCTATATTTCTCTTATTCTGGATATTTCTCTTATTTTTTTCATATATTATGGAGCATTTGCATTTTCTGTTTTGCAACCCTATGCTTTTAAAATTTTCCATTGAAGTGTTTGTCACTCCTGTGGTTTGAACCCAGCACCTGTACATGCTAGGCAAGTGTTCTACTAACCAGTTGTGAAACCCGACTTGTCTTTTTAAATTAATGTGTACTTGAAAGCATTCTTAAATTGGCATATGGCATTAATGTTTTTGTGAATTATATGAATTGCTAATTTCTTTAGATATGTGGCTCACATACCAAAAGCATCAATAAATCTTCAATCATCAATAAAGTGTTCAGTGTATGTGCAAAATCGCTCAGTTTCAATATGGTTGAATTCGGCAATATTTTTCCTAATGATTTGTGATCAATTTTTTGAAAAAAACCCTTTGTGGCACTGGAAACAAACACAAGGTCTTCACATTGCTTTGTACCTCAAACTATTTGTAAATTTTAAAAAGATGTTTCTTTCTAAGTTGTTAAATTGTTCAGACTGAGTTCAAACATGCAATCCTCCTGCCTTAGCCTTCCAAAGTCAAACACCATCATGCTCCAATGTGCTTAATAATTCTTGACAATGAAAGCCATACTTATATCAATACACTTAGAGAAATGACTTGTAGTTTAGACATATACCACCTGGAATTTAGCTTTGTCTGTGAGTTGAGACAGAAATCCAGGGTCATTTTTGTGCTCAATTCACAAATGAATACATATCATTTAGGTGATATTTTCTTGACATATTTTCTGAACAATGGAATGATCATATCTATCCTTGCCCTAATCCTAATCACTTTTTTTTTTTTTTTTT